GCTGCTCATGCCGTCGTACAATATCAAGAGAATGGCAAGCAGGTTTATAAAGCAAAATACATTTCACTAAATTCTCTTTGCGAACAGTATAATGCACCAATCAATCCTATTAAGGAGCAATTAAAACAAATTTATCGCCGAGATCAAAAATATTGGGCGAAACGACCGTTGACTCGTGAAATGTTGCTATATGCGGCCGGCGATGTGCTAGTATTAATAAACGATCAATTATACGGAAACTTAGCGAGGTACTTATAAATTACTCTGAAGGCAATTTTAAAATTATAAAAAATATTCTTTAGACAAATTAAGTCTGAAAACCGTATTTTATTTTCCGAACTGTGCACCGAACAAATTCTTATGTTAATAAAACCAAACGAAGTAAGAATACGTAAAAAACAACGAAAAGTAAGTACCGAAGTATCTGACCTCAAGCAGAAGCTAGCTCAAACAAATAAGAGTATTGTGCTTTCAAATCGAGAAATACGTTTATTGAGGTATGTTATATCAGACCATCCTTTTATATATTATACATATCCAAACGTATAAATGTGTTATAGATATATGGACTTAACAGAAGATGAAAAGGAACGACTAAAGGGCTTTTATAAAGTTGCTAAAAAGTTAGAGAAAATGGAATCAGTTGGCAATCAGAATAGGTAAATTCTTAAAAATATAAGTTTATTCATTTATTATTTATGATTTGTTTTAACTGTATAGGGAGCAAAGTGATTCCGAAGAAGAACAAGAACCCAACGAAAATGATAATTTTCCCAGTCTTGATTCTTTGCCATCTGATAATTCGTTAAGTGGAACTTTTTCACCACGCTTTAATTCGGAACCACCAAGTTTGACTGAGTCAATGCAAATGATGGATGAAATATTATCTGATCAATCAATGGATCGAGTTGCTAAAATTGATAAACTTGAGGCGATACTATCAGCTGTAACACAGTTACCGAGTGATCAAGTAAATTTAAAAGTATAGTCTATTTTATTTTATTTACTAAATTTTCTTTTATTTATTTATTATTAGATCATATCATCTAATAGTGTTCAAGATCAATTGGGTTCAAATATTGCTACAACAGAAAATTTACAAATAATAAGAGAAAAATCGAAAAAGTAAGTCCTAAATATTGTATTGTATAAGTATTGAATCTTAGATTTCAGAATTTATTTTTTATTCAAACTGTATTATTTTGCTAGTAAAAATCTATATGTTTAAAATATTTAAAATATTTAAACATATTTAGCTTATAATTTAAAATATGTAAATAATTAACTATATAGTAAAAATTAAAGGGAATAGGAGGGAATTTAGTGATTAAACCGCACGCAGTTTGAGGTGGTCTTAAACATAGATAATTACAAATAGGGGATCGTAATTATTGTTGTTGTAGTAACCCGCCGGGTCCTGTTTGTAAAGTTCCTTTGGAGGGGTTGAACGGCACTTGATCGTCCCTGCAAACGAGTAACTCCGGGACGGGAATCATAATAGTTGAGTGTAGTGGCATCTACAGTTCTTGAAAATGAATTTAAAGTTCATATAAAAACCGTTATTAAAATAAAACATATTATATATAGTGAAAAACATATCCTAAGGATGTGTTGAGCCTCAAATTTGCACCTTTATATATATCATTGGTTGGAGGATATAAACTAAATTCATTAAAAATTTTAAGAAGGAATTTTTTTTGTATTCCTAATATGGATTAATTACTCCTAATACTTTGTTGTTCATTTCAGTTCGAAAAATTGCAATTGCAATTGCAACTTGGAGCGTACTTCATCACCTTTACTCCGTACTGGTGGCGAAAGGAAATCAATTAAAATGGTGGAAGCAACTTCACAAACGCTTAGTACTGGTGATATTGTTATTACAAAAATTTTCTTCCAAGATGAGCAAGAGAAAGCGAAAGAAAAAATTTTGACTTACTCTGCAAAAAATGAAATTGAATCCTAAAAACTATAACAAATAATTAAAATATTAGTAAACAAACGAAGATATTATAATGAAATGAAAAAAAAAATTTTTTTTTGGAGTCGGTTTTTGGTTAATAGTTCCATTGAACTCTTTAAACTAAGCAATAATTGTGCCTAAATATTGAATAATTGTAAAATAAATAAATGAAAAACAAGCAATTTTTGAAACAATTTATTTTTTACTAATAGATTATTATAAAATTTTGTTGAAAAAAATAACTTGAAATATTAACAAAAATTATTTTATTTTAGCAATTTATAAATAAGATATAACTACAAATTGATTATGTTTTCTTTTTTAAGTGATATTTAAATTGTATTTAATATTTTAACTGCTAAACCTTGTTTTTATAAAACGCCTAATAAAGTTCTAATCAAAATGTCATAAGAAAATAATAACAATTTTATATTACACTGAAATATAGGAATATATAATGTTTATAAAATAAATTTTAAAGATTGAATTGTGTTATTTTAATGTCTCAATATAATCTAATTGTGAAACATTGAAAGTTACTAATTGTCATAAATTAAAATATATATAGAAATCGCACGTCTCATACATTAATGAGAATTTGTGTAGATTTATAGTATATTACGAAAAGCCATTTGTATTTAAAATATATAAAAAATATAAAAACTCAAAAAACTTTAAAAGTATTATCATTATTTATTTAAAATAAGACCAAAATATCATCTAGATATATTAATGAAAATGCTTAAAATTGGTTCAGAATTTTTTTATAAAGTTAGTTTAGTACTTACTGTTTATTAATTGTTTTTGAAAAGTCATTAAATGTAAGAAAAAAATTTTGCATTTAGATTTGTAGGGTTGAAGCACTTTTCACATACGGTTCCCTGAAATTGTTTGAATATAAAGAAAATTTCTAAATATAAAGTTTTAGATCAATCCAATAATGTGACAAAACGTGCATTAAGTCTTAAGTTGGAAAAGTTCAATGCTTTTCTACCATAAACTCTTTCGAAAATCATTGTAATCGGTTAATAAATAACTAAATTATTGCCAATAGAAGGATTCATAAGTGAACAGTGAGTTTGATTAAAATTTCTAAGAGCAATACAAGTGTGCGCTTAATAAAGCTGGACCTTCTCCTAAGATGGGTTAAGAACGAAAACAAATTCATAGCTATTTTATTACGGAAATACCTTATTTGAGCAGCATAATAAGATATAATAGTTTGTGTTTGGCATAAAAAAATAAATTTTGTGGACAATCAAATACATACTAATCATAATATTCAAATTTTCTATTGATACGGACATGAAAATATTTTGATTAGAATTAAGATTTATTGATGTATGTAGGTATATAATGAAAAGAAAAGAATTTTGGTATTTTTAGTAAAATGTATGTTTCTCATATATCCTAGTGTATTTCCTTTTTGTATTAGTTGTAGATTGTCATGTTACTTTACAATTATTCATTATTTACATGGTAAAAAAAATGGGTGGAATCAAAAGGTAAGTGCTTTTGTTAAAACATTAACTCATAGCTTATAAGCTACTATTTATACATTAACTGATTTAGTAGAAAGCGCTTGGAGAGTAATGATATATACCATATTTCCCTTAGAAAATCTTCCCGAATTGTAAAAAGAAATTTTTCCGCACTTGAAATTGTTAAAAAAATGGAAAATTTTGTAGGAAAAGGTGCACGTTGGTAATGGTGGAGTATACAAATTTCCTTTGAAATATTTCAGACAATTTTACACTATTTATATTTAATTTTGCTTCGATTAAATATCTTCATATGTACTATGAAATAATTTTCAAAAAGCCCCCTTTTAAATAAGATTCTGTGTACATGTATGGCAGAGAACTACAATGAGTACTCAACACTCGAGTCATACTTGAATCATTGGCTGTATTTTACTTATATGCATTCTGACTCTTTTTTTTTCTTGAATATTCGACTCTACCTGACTAATATACACAGCTGACAGCACTTGCAATGATTAATACTCTTCTCATATGGTACTTATAAACACCGACACGCGATACAAAAATGATGCAAGTGATTTATGAATCAATCATGAGTATTACGTCACAGTTGGTTTTACATGAGTATTACTAGAGGTTTCAAACTAAAACTATCCCTAATTAATTGCACTTCTTATATTCAAGAACACAAACAAAAAATATTCATTTATAATGCTAACAGCAACAACGCACACTAAAGGCATAACAACAACACACAAAATAAATAAATATACAAATACATTTTTTGTTTAATAAACAACAGTGTTAACATGAAGCTTTTACGAATACCAAAACTGATCGAATCGGTATTCATTTATTTTCGATGAGTACATTCATGGATGTACTCATCGAGTATATGCTATGCTGCACGAGTCATTTGCCATTTAAGCTACTCTACTCACTCGTTAACGAAAACCCTTATTAATCATTTCTATGAGGAATGTGAATGCGTATAAGTAATGTATGAGAAAAACAATATACGTATTTATACTTGGTTTTTATGAGTGTACTCTGAGTGTTAAAATTACGACTCGTTGCAGTTCTCTGGGCTATGTCTATTATTCTTGTCCAAATTAATCTTGTCCAAATCTCTAATTATACAAGGAATTAAACAAACCTGGCCGGATGGGAAATACATCATTTTACTTTTTACTAAATGTGTATAGATTTTTTACAAATATTTTTTACACCGTTATGATAATTGTTTTCAAAATTCCTAAGAGCGACTACAATTTACAAAATGTATGTTTCTCATATATTCTAGTGTCTCTCTATTTTTTGCTATTTCTTTGTAAATTGACCGGAAAATTTTCCCAATCCTGAGATTGGGAAATTTCACTCATAGGAATGTATAATAGCTTTTCGTAAAGATATCTTGTCTTTGTATGGTTCATTATAGAATAAAACGTCCTTTATATATATTATTAGTAATAGTTTATTTATAAATAGTATTTTTGTTTATTTAAAAAGGGTAACAATACAATTTTATGTATGAAATTTACAAAATTTATCAATTTATACAACTATAAAATCGTTTCTTTTGCCAACATTTGGTAATACATTATTTAAAAAGTTCACAAAATAAATTTATTTAATTTTGCTAGTTTCAACATAATTTTTTTTTAAATTTGTATAAGTTATCAAAAATCATTTCACATATGAAAAAATTATTTATTCTACATATTTTTATTCAATTTTCTTTTATGCTATTTTATTTATACATTTTTACATTATTTACATTTCACTAAATTTCTTTTAAGAAAAAAAAACGCAATTATAAAAATACGAGTAACATTACTTTTCGAACTTTTATTTATTTATTTGTTTTTTCTTTTTTTTTGACGGGAATAATTTTGTTAAAATCGGTAATTAATATTATGGATTATGCATATGAGCGTAGCCAGGAAAAAGATCGATTGTCTCATAAGCCGAGCTTTTAAAAAAATAATTGGTCTGTTCCACGAGCTACTCATAGTAACTTTGAGTAGCACTATGTATACACAAGTGCGTTCCACCAGTGAATTTTCGAGTAAATGAGAGCATCTGTGAGAGCGTAACATCCCTGTTGTACTTTAAAAATGCTATGTAGGCTTTACTCGTAGATTTTATTTGAAGTAAAATTTGTGTGATGTGTGAATCAGCTGTTTTGGTTTGAATTTAAATTTTTGTATTGTTTATTTGCACGGCACTGGTGTTTTCACCAGACTTTACACAAAGCTGTTCCATGAAAGTCTGTGTAAAGCGCATAATTAGACACATTATTTGTGTTACGCTCTCAGTTTGTACTTTACTTGTGTTTTACTTGAATTTTACTACGAGTAACTCGTGGTGCAGTCCTATTATCTTTGTCACATATACTCTACTAAGTTCCCAGACTTCGCTAATGGCTAGGGCTCAGTAAGTTTTAACAAAAGATAATTTTTTTACATAAAATATAATATACGTATAAACATATAAAATTAGTTCTTATACAATGTTAAACATTTTTAATGGAAGCATATGAGAAGCAAGATAATATTAGCTAACAAATAACAAAAAACTGAACAATAAAAAAATCACAAAACAATTTTCATTTGTATCAAAATCAATTAAATATGTAAAACGAATGAAATTTTGAAATAAATCATTTTCAATTCGACATAACCAACAAACTTAAAAATATGCTCGCCTTATTTTACAAATTTTAAAAATTAAATGGCAATACAAAATATGAGTAAATTATTATTATTATTTAAAATATATTTGGTAAATTTAACTAAGAATAACCACTAAAATTTAGAAATGAGTGATTATTACAGTTTATATCTGAAAAGTATGTTTTTATGGGTTAAACAATTTCTTTATTTAAATAAAACTAACGCAGATTAGTATAAAAATATTATTTATTATTTATATATCTATTTTTCGAAAACTTTTTTTTATAAAATTAAATAATTTTTAATGAGATCATGTCCTATAGCGCATAATTTCACGCGAGGCATATAACAATTCCGCTTGGTTTCTGGCTTCCATTATCATTAAATTAATGTGCACCTAAAGACCAAAGAGTAAGAAATATAATTTATACATATTTCATATAAGACAAACCATTGTATTTTATAAATAGACACATATATTTGTCATTTTCATTTTATAATATACAAATAAATGAAAAAAATATATATTGCATTTTTTATATACCTTTTCACTATCTTGCAATTCCACAAGTATACTGTCATAATCTTTTGTAGTTATCCTTTCGGGAAAGCAACAAGCTGTTTTTATAAACATTTTTAAAGGCCGATCTAGAAGCTGTAAAAAAAATAAAAAAATTTATAATTGAATCTTATATTAAAAATATAAAATTTATTTATATGTATAATATTATTTCTATATATACTGCTCCTCACTTGTTATTGTTTTGTGAACAAGACGAAATTTCAGTCTCCGTACACTTTTAGAAAACCTTTGATACTATATATTTTTTGAAACTAAAACAATGGTCTCTATAAAGCCACCTATTTGTCTAACCTTTTATACACTTTTACATAAAAAGTAGTAAACTATTTTCACATCATAAGCAACAGTTTGACTACACATAATGTATTTTGAAAGATTGCCTAAATAGATCTCAACTGTCACATTTTCTTTTTCTCTTGTCGATAGCACCTATATCTAAGACTGCGTGTGTGTACCTTCCTGAGTTATGGTAACAAAAACATTATTGATTGTGTCGAAAAATACAAGAACTGTAACAATGACATGCTTTCATTTTATTAAACTTAGTATGTATTAGTATCGAATTATTAGATAGGATTGAGAATAAAATCAAAAATTCAAAATTTTGGAAACTACTCTATAACGACATCAACTTAATATTTAACTGTAATTGTATTTATGTAATTTCCTCTATATTAATAAATTAAGTAATGATTACTCACTTGATTCACTTCGCCATAGTCGTAATCATCATGTCGAATTCCGAATATGCACTGTATGTAATTCCATATGGCTCGCCGAAATTTTGATGTGTCTACATTTTTAATGCCAGCCATAGTGAAGTATGTTAAATTATACGCGGCACGAAATTTTTGGTCTAAAAGTGTGCCAACATCACCATATAAACTAAATATTGATAAACTTCCAAATTAAGAATATCGGAATATGTTAAGAAAACTTACTCATTTACAAGTGAATAGCCATGATCGTCCCATGAGTAATCTTGTATACGAAAAGTATTTGGAATATTTTCAGCACCTCTTCGAGCAAAGTCTTGATAGGTAAATGTCGGATCTTTTATATAATGGGATATATTTTGTGGCACTTCGACAGCAGTTTCCGGTGCAGCAGCTGGTAGTTCAGCAGTCTGCATTTCAACGTTCTTAAAACGATTACTTAATTCTGCTTCGCTACATTCGTCCTGTTTTTCGGAAAGCACTTTCATACGCTCCATTATCGCCTCAACAACACTTTGCACAGGGGCCAAGGAGAATTGAAGTGGTAGCGGTGTCGTAGCTTTTAGGCACACACCAATTACGTTCACAATATTTCCGCTCGCTGAATTATTGTGAATTTCATAACTGCTGTGATCATCAAGATTTTTATTATTCAAAGTAATTTCACTTAAAACAGCTTTTTGTTGTTGCTGCTGTTGCATTTGTAACTGTTGCATTTGTAAATGTTGTTGCTGCATATCTGGTATTTGGTTTAATGTAGGAAAAGGCAATATAGCAGGTGATGACTTCAATTTGGGACTAGAAAGGCCGTCTAGCTTTTGTGTTAAGCCGCAAGAAAATACAAAGGATGATAATGAATGAAAATGTGAGAGTAACACCATAGCATGAACGACCTCTGACAATGACCAACTATTTTTACCCTTTGTCAAACGCTGCAAAAATTATGTAGACATTATTTGAGATTTTCATCTAATTAAATATTTAACACTTACTTCTATTAGCTCCTTGCGCAACAGCCATGGTCTATGTGCTAATATTTTATTTATCTCGTAGATAGCATATAATTTCGATGGAATACAATCCAATCCATTCAACCATTCAGGTTGACCTCCTTGGTTAAGGAACTCCTTTTCATACATTTTGACTAAATATACGCATTGGTGACGTGCGGCCGCCTTATGAAAAAAAAAAATATTTGTATAATCTCTCTCGTGGAACTATAATTTATTACGCTTCACAATTTCAAACTATAAGTTGGAAATCACAAAGAAAGAGATGTAAGAAAGAAATATAGATCTTAGAAGCATATTTTTATGTGCCATATGAATTTATAACTAATGAGAACTATGTACTAGAAAATTTCTCCAAATGCTGGATTGACTTCCTAGAATATTAATGAATACACAACAAAAAAATTTTAATCACGTAAATAGGAAACCCAAATGCATCCAAAAAATCATTTCTTTACGAACCGATGCACGTACACTATATACTTAATGCAATTATATTTTCTCAACGAAAAATAAACAATAAAAAAAATATAAAAATATAAAAAAATATAAAATATGTATAGAAAATAAATAACAAAAAATAATTACGTACAAATTTCTTTCTAGTTATTTAAAGAGAAACAAAATTTACATGGACGCTTCAAGTCTTCGAAACAAGTAGTCAAAATGTCTTCGAAGACATTTGGCTAATTTGTTCGAAAATATCTTCGAAGACCGTCATACATTTGCATCGATCGGTTTGCAGGCATGCGTCCATGTCTTCGAGACGTCTTCGATGAAGGATCGATCCGTTCCCTACTGGGTTTTTGAATAGCTGCAAAAGATATTCACTACTGCTACAAATAATGATGCGTTAAGAAGTTATCTGTATTGATTTGTCCGTATAGTTCTGCCTACTATTTAAGAAATTTTAGGATTTTCAAAATGGTTTACAATAAAAACGTATTTACAATTATAAAATTTTCTGGGAAAATAATTTTGTAAATTAATTCGTTGAAACTAACGTATGTTGTTGTTGACGCCATTAGCCATTGGCTGCACATCTCTGGTGTATATCTTCTTGAAATTAGAAATAATTTATTGGTTTATAGGTTGAAGAAATGGAGTAGTGTGTGTTAGGAAACAAGAACTTAAATGAATTTAAACTCTTCAATGATTTCATATTGACGATGAGAAGGAGAGTTGTGCATAAGAAGCAAGACACAAAATGGTAAATCTATCTCAATCAAATATAAATAAATAACTTTATTATTCAGCAAAAAGGTCACGAGTCACTCAAGCTTTACTGTTGGATCTCCATATGCCCTTTAGCTTGTTTTTTAACTTTTAGGAATGTGAATTCTATGAATGATAGACGGGAAGAAATTGTTTTATTTTGAAATCGTCGGTTTCATACGTGGAAAAACTGGAATAGGGCAGTCTTCCGCTGGTTTGTTTGAATATATTTTTCCAACAAAAGCCCGTGTCGTCATTATACAAGCTTTTTGAAATCTCCCAAGAAAGTCTTTGCTGCTTCAGCGTTTGAGTTTGTTGCTTCACTAAACCTCACAACGCTATGGACGCCAGTAAGATAAAAGGAAAAATACGACATAAACAAGCGAAATTTTAGCTTTTTATGGTTTCTTATTCTACCTCAATAACTCTAGAAACAGATTCATACTCTTAAGTCATTATATACATTTGCATATGGGAAATGTTCTCCACTTTGATTAACCTATTATCAATAAAATGTGGGTACACATATCAGCTCAAAATGATCAGTATGAGAGCGGTTGCGAAACAAAAAAAAAACATGATTATTGGATGTCCCCTAAGCAAATTCTTTCAAAACGAACAAGATCGAGCGCTTTTATGAAGCATATAATACTTGGATCTTATTTAATATATTAAAACTTTTTGCCAAATCCAATGTAATCATATTTTTGAAAGTTTTTTTGAATTGCTTATTGTCAACTGAATTCATTTATTTCTAAAAATTTTTGCCTGGTTAAGCAAAAGCTCGATTAGCGAAGTTTTATTTAAGAACGGGAAGCCTAGTATACTGACAACCAGACATAGAAATGATCAAATATCATTAAGTCTTGCTGCAGACTTGAACCAGGCAAAAGTACATACGCAATATATAAAAAAAAGAGTTTTTTAAGTTGCATGAGAACTTAAAATCATAATACAAGATACAAATATTATTGCAATGAAATTTTTTTCAAGACATAAGCCAAAGACTCAACATAGCCCCATAACAACTAATCGAGAGGCGTTAAATTGCACGAATGAGAGGGCCAGCTAACAGGACCATTTCTGGAAATAAAGTTGTTACCAAATTAATTTCGCAATAAATCGATTGTTAAGCGCGTTGTATGGCAAGTTGCACCGTCTTGCGTCTTGTTAGGATCAAATGTCGTCGATGTTTAACTGTTTCTTTTTTGAAAACAAAAATTCAGTCAGCCTAACTCGAAAGCGCCCATTCAATGTAATGGCAGCTCCTTCTTGATTTCGAAAGAATGAAGAATAAGGATCAATGATGCCGCCAACATGTAAATCGCACGAAACAGTCAATTTTAATGGATGTATTGGTAATTCATTAACGGCTACAAAATTATCTCCGGCTCAATATACGGCAATTTTGCTTTTTGACGTAGCCATTTACCAAAAATGACTTTCATCACTAAACAGCATTCGACGAAATGCTCAAAATTTCCACAATTTGGAATCGTTGTTCTACCGTTGAGTTTTTCATGATCAACCTTACGGAACAGAAATGTCAACACAGTTTGATATTCTCAGCTCTCAAACCATAGTTATCAAAATCGATAGTTCTTATGCAGCTAAAAAAACGCCCATTAGTAATGAGTTAATAAGTAAATATTCCTTCAATATGAGCTTTGTATATCATTGAACATTACAACTTTATTAGGCTGTGGTTCCATTGAATGCGAATTTTGTCTTGTGTGTTCGTACGAACAAATCAAATGTATGTAATCATATGTGAGTGGCTACAATTGCTGAGAACTATTCGCGCGACGTCTTGTCTTTCTTATGCGATTTGATTTGATTTGAAATTAATAAATAACCTGATAACCAATTTTCCGTTAAATATATATCATCTTCACTATACATTTTGTTTCCAAAACAAACAAAACAGAATTGTCAATTCGCAAGCAATTTAACCGCAACATGTGATTTGTTCGCATGAGAAAACATATGTATGAACACGCAAGACAAAATTCGCATGCAATGTAACCGCAGCCTTACAAAGTTGTAATAACTGACAAATATTATAAGGCCTGATATACAACTAAGAAATGGTTAAAAAAGTTTTAATATTTTTAGACTAATATAATATTTTTTGTACACAGTGTATGCTTTATTTGGATTAAATCTAAAATAATCAACATCCAGATGCGTATTCCCGTTTTCCACGCTTTATTCTACGATCTTACCATCATGCACGCATTGTGAATGTGTGGACATTTGCCGCAAGTGCGCACTGGGTCTAAATTAATTTGGTTTCTTAAGCTAATAAAAAATATATATATGGTTCATATTGTCTCGGTAGTATTTTTATAAGGATTGTAAATTCAATACATTTGCCCTTTCACACTGTGCACATGTAATATTTTAAAGCAGGGCTGTCCAAATCACGGCCTGCGGACTATATGCGGCCCGCGGATAATGGTTGTGCGGCCCGCGACATGTTTTTAATCTACTACATTTACCTAAATTTTCTTTTGGTGGACTGGTAAAACTACATTACTTTATTTTTATTATACACCAAATAAATTAATTTAAATTGATGAATTAATAAAAATAAATTTGACATTATAACCGTATTTTTATTTTCGCCGAAAGTAACTATGGACGTATGTATTTGTTTCTGCGGTACTCCAATCTGTACAGTGATTTGTATTGGCCCGCGAACGTATCTGGTCAGAACAGCCCTGTTCTAAAGTATTAAACATTTCATTACTTCTAAGCACATTCTGTTCCAATATATTTTATATTTTAGTAAAAATCGTTTTCTATTAAAGCGTGATTATATGAAATATGTTTTGAATTTTCAAACGCATAAATTTAATGGTTTAAAATGAAATATCGGTCAGACGGGAAGTAATTTTCTTACAAATAATTATTTTTTATTGCACTTTTAACAATCTTAAGACCTTAGAGACGCAATTAAAACAAAACGTAATGAAAACAGAAATGCAAAATTTCGAGATGCAGTTTTCTTATTAACTTTAAGGCTGTTCTCGATGCAACGCCTTTAAATTAATAGATTTTTATATAGATTTTTTATTTGCCAATGACGCATCAAAATGTAAACAAATTTTAATAGGCTTTTAATATAATTAATAAACAAAACAAAGTTCTGCAGCAAAATAAACAAAATAAAAATATTTGCAAATTAAAAATAATTGTTTTTATTATTTTTAGCGTATGCGCGTAGGTGTTGATTACTATATTTCTATGTCGCTTAAACGAAATAAATTTAGTTTAATGTATTTTACGCCACGCCACACCACAGCAACACTTATTATAAAGGGTGTTTTTTAAATAAATGTCAATTTCAATATCAACAACAGGCGAATTATCGTTGGAAAGTGATGACACAATAACGTTTACATTTTATACTAAATCTAAGCGTTACCGTTTATTACAATAAATAGCATTTATTTCAATATAAAGCGTGTTAAATGTATTTTGAGTTTTTTTTTTTGTAGCAAAATTATAACACTATATACAGTCAAACTTCCATAATTCGAACTCCTATAATTCGAATTTTCTATAACTCGAATTTTCTATAACTCGAATTTTCTATTACTCGAACTAAAAAAAAATGCAACAGGGTTTTAGAGAGCAAATTACATACAATTCTGCTTCCATAACTCGAACTTCTATAACTCGAATTTCTCTATAACTCTAATAAAAATATTGTCACGTGCCAATAGGAATGGGGGAAAGTGCATTCTATAAGTGTTAGGGGAAGTCCCTTTTTCCAAACCAAATCTTTAATTGTTTCCTTATTCTGTTGCTTCTTTGCACAAATGTCATTCGTTGGCATGCATAGAACTGACATATGTTCTACCGAATATTACCTAAATTGCAACCGCTTGATCCGGTAGTAATTCAAAATTTACAGTGTAACTAACACACATAACAGAATCGTAAAGGAATCGCTAAAGCGTATAGAAGCAAACAAGAAGCAGGATATTACACCTATGGATTGCATAAATCAAATAACAAAAGCTTGATACATTTATGTAAGTAGTCAAACGATAGCGCACTGCTTTAAAAAAGCTGGATTTGGCCAATTTACTACATGGGACGAACAGAACTACATATTCCTTTAGTTTTCTTGAATAACATTGGTGAAGACCATGAATTGATGTAAAAGTAAAGTAAATATAATAACTTGCAATGATATTCTTAACGATTATATTGAGTTTGACAATAAAATTCAAGCTTTTCTACAGATGACGATATTATTGAGCATTATATGGTAACTCTGAATTAGTGGATCCGATTGAAATTGACCTTCAGCCTTCCAAGAGTGAAGTACAAGATTCATTCAAAATACAACTGATGATCACTATAAGGCTTCGATAGGAAACTATTTTTACTGAAAATAAGAACAGTTAATATCCCAAACCCTAATTTCTCAATATTTTACTTCAGTATAACTTCTGTGCTGTATTTGATTTCAATACGAGTTATCTTAAAAATATCTTAAAAAGTATTTCTAGTTTCTTTCAAAAATAAAAAAAAAAAAATTCTCTAACTCGAAGTCCCAATAAATCAACCCTTTTCTTTGAAAATGGTACTTCGAGTTATGGAAGTTTGACCGTATTTGATTATAATTAAAATACAGAGTGGCATTTGATTATTGAATTAAACGGATTTAATGAGATAATTCAGGCGCTCTATTTGATTCGTTTGAGATCTGCATTTTTTTATAAAATAAAATTAAGAAAATGATAAAATCATAATATCTTGTATCTTGTCTTGTATATTATATTAGAAGAACCAACTTAAACACATATTCTGAAAAATAGTAACATATCTATGAATTCATAACTTGAGCATACATTAGAACATTAATTATAAATAAAACATTGAAAATCGTCAATGTTCGATGTGATATTTTGTAAGTTTAATTAATATATTAATAAACTTTGAACACAATTTATTGTTAAGTCAGAAAGGTGGGAAAGCTTTATTTCACCTTTTGCATAAAAAGTATTAAATACTAGTACCATATATACTCGTCTTTCATAGTCAAAATTCAGTTTTGATCTATCAATTAATTCGTTGCTAACAAGAATATAGAAGTCGTCATAATGCTTTTAATAATGAATTAATTTCTTTGTAAAGAATGAAGCTAAAATCTGTATCATCACTAGAAATCACCTCAAAAATACAATATTTGGTATTTAAGCAAATCATAACAGCTTAATACTTACAATTATAGCCAAATAGTATCTGTACTCATATGGCAATGGTCCATCACGGTTCATAATAAAATCTTGAGTTCGTAGAAAATGATCGAGAAATTTTGGATGATAACCTATCACCTGTGTGACTTGATCTAATTCAAGATCGTCCATGTTGTATTCACGTAATGTACCCTGAAATTGAATAAAGAAACTTATTAGAAATAATTGGATTAAAGTAACATCCATAAATTAATTACAATTACAATAAATCAATAATTTACTTCAATACATCGGAGGTATATAAAATAAGTAACGATAGAATAAATTCCTAGTTGTCAAGTCAATGTAAAAATAAAAAATATTATTCTTACAAGTTATAGACTATCAGGTTTAATCTTTATCAGGTATACTATAATAGAACACATTTTATATGTAGTTATCAAACAAAACGTGTTGCAAAAAAAAAAAACATGGCTAGAACAGCAAAGAAACAATTAGATGATAAGCGGTCATAAATTTTATAAGCACCTCAAAGGATTGTTTTTGCTTATCTGGGTTTCTTATTTTATCAAAATTTATATATCGTTTTGCATTTTGTTGTTAAGCTGAAATATACAGATGACCTAATACTGATAATCAACACAATGAGTTAGATATAGAATACAGTATTCGTAAATAGAAGAAATTAAATATAAGCCACACAATCTCAATTTTATACATATTCTAATATCTAATGTTTATAGTACTCATTTTAGTTATCATCTCTACAGCCATGTTGCTTACATTATTTTTTGAAAGCTATGCTCTTACACGAAGTGCAAGTAGCTATTCGATATAAGAGTATCAAACATAATACATGATAAATAACATGATCCTTCCTTATCAGTTCAGCTATTTCAATACTCTAATCAGACTACTTCACATAATTAAAGTAAATGCTAATTTGTATGTCCGCAAACACGAAGTCTATTATTCCATTTGCGGGTCGCTCGAACTGTTGGGCTTATGTTATGTCAAGTATCTTTAAAAATTCTAAATACTTAGACACATATGTGTTTGTATAACTTATTTGAGTATGGTTCTAATGAACTGTGCTCGCATTTGCTCTGATAATATTTTTATTAATACATATAATTATTTATTTTTTTATTTTTTAGATTTTTAATTCTTGTTTATTTATTTAAATGCTGCAAAAAATATCAAAGATTTTCGCGCTAAACTAGGGCAAAGTAGTTTAGCGTTCATTGACCTTTTAGTTTCTTGATTGCTACTACTCTTAATGGAAATAAATTACACTATATTTGTTATTGCTTATCATAAAATATTTAATCAAAACTTAAAAGAAACATTAAAAGAAAATTTTATTTTGAACACTTTGTTATGTACATATATACAAAAATGCAGTTGGAACCCAACGATAAGTTTTGAAATAATTTTTTTGAAATGATGGTCTTAAATTTGAAATGATAGATAATAGATTTGATTTCTCTCCATTTGTATCTATGAGTGTGTAATTAAATAAAAATATAAATATTTATTTAAAATGAAGATTAGTGTATTTGTTTATTCAAAACTTTTGTCCGACGAGATAAAATTTGAAAAAATTTCATTAAAAGTCCTGCATTAATAAAAACTTAATACTGGGATACTGGGGTTTTTACCAAGCAGCGTGCGGAATTTTCAATGCCATGGGACACGATGAATCCTAAGTTCAGTTTGACTAAGCCTTTAAAAACTGAACAAAGCAACAAAAGAAGATGGGAGGGCATTAATCAAACCTATCAACTCGCTGAGGTAGGTGCCGGAACGGGCATAGTCGGACCAGGGAAAAAGAATTGGGAAGCGCTGGAAAAAAATACTACGTCTTCCAATTTTAAAGTGCGTATTCATCAATATTGAACGGAATTACCAAGGTAAAAATATCGCAATACTGACAGACAGCCAAGCGGCGATTAAACTCGCATCCGGTGACCTGAAAACTAGTGCTAGACTGCTTTGATAAGCTAAATCTGCTTGGCGATTCAAATCACGTGTCGATTCTTTGGACAACGGGATATACGAATACGCGGACAAACTTACCAGGAAAGGAACAGCCACACCGATGATGGGGCCGGAACCTTTTTGTGGACTAGGACATAGTACGCTCCTTTTTTTCATAAAAATAAAGGAGAACCAGAATAAAAAGGATTACTGGGATAATATACCAGGATTAAAACAATCCAAATCATTTCTTGGTACCTATAACAATAAGAGATACCAATATTGTATGAACCTATCAAAAGAAAAACTTAGAATCATCAGAGAAATTATAACAGGGCACTGTAAACTGAAATACTACCATACAAGACTGAGTAAATATACAGATGCAAACTATAGATTCTGTGAAGAGAATGAGAAGTCGGTACAAGTGCTATTAGAATGCCTATCGCTTATGCACATACAGAATAGACTGCTGGGAATGTATATTCTTACGGAAGAAGCAACAAAACTCTGTAAATTAGGTTCTATACTACTTTTAATTGACGCAACAGGGCTTACAGACCTACTCTAAACCCAGAAGGTTGCACAATAGACCCGACGGTCGCAGTGCCACGTTCCCTAACAATAATATAATAAAATACTGGGAATTGTTGAGAATGCTTAGGAATACTTGAATAAAGCTAATTTAATCATTCGTAAATAGATTCTTGTTTTGGGAGTTGTTAACAAATCCGAGCTGAAAGTGAATAATAGTTATTTGTGTATAAAACAAATACATGAAAACATAATTAATTTTTTATCTCACATATATTTTCTGCAAATGAATTGTGCTTTAATCACATAGCGTTTCCTCCTTGCAATCGTCATTTAAAGCGAGCTAAGAAATGCTTTTATTTGCATTTTTTCTTTTGCAAATGTACATATCTATTTATAAGTACTCATATGTACTAGGGAATTTGTGCAATATGTCTTTCGCAGAAAATAATTTTTTCAAAGTTTTTCCAAATACAAACTAAAGTCTCAAATAATATGCAAAATAATTAAACAAAAATATTTACACTGAAAACTGAAGATACTCTGTTCGAATGCATACACATTTATTTCAGAAAATATGTTACTTAAAAATTTTAAAAATATTTATAAACCTTTTTATGGATACTTTTCTTGGAGGCATCAATAGTGCTTATATAATTGAATCTACACTTTCTTCAAATATTTTACGATCGATAGGTTAGTATATAGGTCAGTCCGAAAATGATTTCATTTACTACAAACAAAAAAATTTGTCAACTGTTTTTTATTTTATTTCCTTTATCGCAAACGAAAAATTCGTCAACTGCTTTTTGTCTACTAATCCGTTTGCGTGAATTATAGTTTAATTGAAAAATCGGTAACCACAAACGAGCACATGGTTTCTTAATAACTTTTTATAACTGATTTAAATTTGTTGATCATTGCCAGGAAACGTATTCATTTCATTCAGTTCAGTTAAAAATCGCTTTCATTTGTTTCAACTACTCCATGAATGAAATTATTTCTCTTACTCATTCCCATTCTACAACTTGTATAAATCCATTCCAATGTTTTTTAAACATTTCTATACTTTTGCTCCGAATGTAACTACTTTATTGGAGTAAAACATCCTTTTTTTATTATAAAGTATGTGATCAGACCCCAATTTGTTAAAAGTGTAGATAATTACGTAGTAATTGATGCAATTACTATGATGCGTCATAGCCACTGTTATGCCACATTCTTTATTGCAAAGTCGGTCTATTTTCTAATTTACTTCCTTAAATGCATCAAAAACTAAATATCTTTATAACATATCATGATCATATTCAATAACGGCACTCATATCCTACCAGGTAACATTCAAACTGGTATGGGGGTGCATTGACAAGCTGAACATACTTGGCTGGAACAATCAGATGCACCTAATATGGATTCCGGAACATGCTTGCATCCAAGGCAATGAAATGGCAGACAAACTTGCAAGAAGAGGTGCGGCTTTATGAATTATAGGCCCAGAACTATTCTGTGGTCTAGGCAAAGGAACTCTATCCATTCTTATAAGAAAAGCTATCCAGACTATCACAATCTAAAATGCTTTTAGGGACTTTAAACCTAAAACGCTACAAAAATTGCATAGCACAATCAAAAAATAATTTAAGAATTATTGTGGGATTATTTACCGGACACTGTAGATTGAATAATCGCCTATCGAAGTTAAGAATTTAATCCTATTCAGACTGCAGATACTGTGAAGAAGAGAGAGAAACTTCATACCATGTACTTGGGAAGTGCCCGACACTGATGCACAAGCGGAAGAAACACGTAGGAGGATATTTCATGAATCATAAGGACTCAAGACTAGAAAAGATAGGCTCCATACTGTCTTTCATTAAAGATATCGGACTTAGAGAAAGACTAAGTGGCACAATAGATTTTTTAAGTCACAGTGCACTATCTCTTCTTTTTCAATAATAATACACCATTTAAATGGTCCGATACATTTAATGAAATAGAATTATTCCTAACTTTACAACTATTCAAATAACTTCATGAAATATATTGATTTTTTGTGGAGTAACCACTGAATTCGGATTTTAAATATCCGTGCACAATGTTATTGGGATCTCTACAGCCACGTTTAAGTTCATCGAACCTTCGATAAATAGATGATTTCAGCAAAGAGAGTGCTAATTATACTTTTCCAAATATTACTAGACTTCCAAGGTATTTTTTTTTCATAAAACCTTTCATAAAACAATATCGAAGTTATTTTTCATCCATTCTTTTGGCAATTCTATAAGTATTATCACTCAAATGCCTGTAACTTTATAATTATTGGTCAGAATATCATAATATGTTAACACTTATCGATTGAATGTTCCAAATTTTGTGTAAGGTAGTACACATTTTGTGTGAGTACCTCAAGAATTAACATACTCAGCTTAAAAATAAGAAAGAACAGGGTATTAGCTCCCATTTGAGCAGAGCACCGCGACCATGATTGATCTTTTGTGCTACAACAGACCCTAACTGAACAAAAGACATTCCGCCTTTCGAATGAAGGCCAAAATGTCGGTTGTTAAGGACCTCCTAATGTCAGAAGGTGCTAGCAATTCCCGACCCAGTGATCTTCTCCTGGCCCAGATCAAAGCTGGGCAGTCACATAGAATGTGGCTGGTTGTCTCCTCTGCCTCGAA